GCCTATAAAATGGGTCACTTTATAATGGTGATGATAGTGAATGAGATTAATAGTACGTGTTTTTGCTAGATTAAGTAGCCGCTGTTATAACTTTGTAACACAGGCAGCAAAGTACATGGGAGTATTTCCTGGATAAAAGGTAGGCTGGCCATGTGGCTAAGTCCTCTCAAGGCCGTGGTGCTGTTGGTAAGTAGAGGACACTGCCCTAGTGAGCTGTGAAGAGAGGGAGAATGCTAACGCTGTGTGTATATCTTAGTAGGCTTAGTCTTAGGATTGCGGAATTTTCCCTCTGCTTTTGTATTAAAAAAATAAAATGGAACATAGTGGCTAAGTAAGAAAGGAGAAAATGGAGTTAGACATCTGAAGAGAGGGAACAAGGAATGGAATACTTGGGAAAGTGAGGAAAACTTTATTATTAGAGTGAGCTTCAATTTGAAGTTTAAGATTTTGCTCCTCTAATAATCACCTTATGAAATGTACCTTGATAAATTTTGATTGAACAAGTAAGTGAATATAAAGTGGTTGTATAAAGCTCAGCGTGGTGGTGCACACTTACAGTCCCAGCACTGGGGAGGCTGAGGCAGGAGGATAATTCATTGCCAGTTTGAGACCAGCCTGGGCTACAATGTGGCCTCATGGCCAGCCTGAACTGCATAACTGCATAGTGAAACCCTGTCTCAAAAAGAAGAAAGGAAGGAAAGAAAGAAAGGTTGTATAGCTGCTCAGACCGATCTTGATGCCAGGGGCATTGCAGTTTGGCAGTTTTACAATATGTGTGATTGGAAAGAGGCAGTAGAGGAACTCTGTTTTCAAGAGATTTTTTTTTTTTGAAGGGGAGAATAAAGCAAGATCCTTTAGAAAACACTTAAATTCTAAAAACTGTTTCAGTGCTACTGGTTCTTCTGTTTGTTTGGTTCTTAGGGTGGTTCTAGCCATCCTCAATGGTCAACATGCAAAAAGGTTTGGATACTTTTGTAATCTTAACTGTTCAGAACCCCAGTGGTTTTGCTTGTATGGCTGTAGATTATAGTTAGACCTTTTGGGAATGGCAAGCTTTTGAAAAGTTGTTTCTAAAACACATTTATTTTGTTTGTGAAGAGCTGACTGGTTAAACAAAAATAACTTAGTTCCCTAGGTTATTTCTTACAAAACAAAATTCCAGGCTGTTATGTTATGATTTCTAAAGAGAAATTTTGAGAAGGAAATGTCAGTAAACTGTTCTTTTTTAGCACGTTGTGTAAGAACACATTATGCGCAAATAAAAATTCCTGTTGCAATATTTGAAAAACAAAACCTTCAAGTAATTGTGCAATATCTTTGTTATAAGTACGACCTCAAACAGACCCAAGTTGTTTTGGATGGAATTCTTTTATCTCCTTAAGATGACACCATGGGAAAGAGTGAATGGGGAAATGAGTTCCATTATCACAGGGTTGTGTTTTTGTTTTTGATTTTTTGAGGGAGAATTAAGTTTTTTTTTAAATAATGCAAGCTCTTTTCTTTCTACCACAAATTAATTGAATTTTATTTATTATGATGTAGATGAATGTCTGACAGGAATTGCCTACAGGGCTTGACTGAATGTGAACCCACACAGTTTTTAAGTATGTGTAGAACTTAAGTAGAGCTTCACATTTTACATACCTGGAAGGGGGAAAAGTCTTTAAGCACTTTATATGGTTGGATTTCAAATGTCCTTGGTAGTTTCATTAATAAAATCCAGGCTTGTGGAATAGACATCCATTCTGGGAGCCTACTATAGTGATGCTGTGACAGTAACATATTTTTACAGAATAGCTTATTTTTTTGTATTTGCTTGGACTGCATTGTCTTTTGACAGTATCTTCGGGGAAGTGTGACTTAACTTCGTAAATCAAACTTCTGCCTTTTTAAACATATTTTTATAAAATAGCTTATTTTTTTGTATTTGCTTGGGCTGCATTGTCTTTTGACAATATCTTCAGGGAAGTGTGACTTAACTTTGTAAATCAAACTTCTGCCTTTTTTGAGCTCTTCTGAAGTGTTATCCCCTCTTCTCTGGTAGTACTTCCCTCCCTCATCTTCGTCATTGCCCTTGGCATAGACTGAGTCCATGTGAAAGGTGAGGTCGTGTGTTAGTGTTTGACATACTTTACGTTGTTTAATACTGACAACCCTTTGATATGTGCCACGTTATCCCTGTTTTACAAATTAAACTGTTTGGAGGCATTGATGGATTTAAATCTAGTTCTATAAAACTCAAACTCAAAAATTTGTTTTCTTCCCATAAAGCATGCATTATCTTTCTGTTTAATCTTACTAAAAGGTCAGTTTCTGTCAGACCTATTGTGTCCACAGGTCGGTCTCCTGTGTGCCTTTGTGTTTCTTACAAGTCTGACTTGCCAGAGGACAAGGACCGTAGCTTGTTCACAGCTGTTGCCTCTCCTCAGTGCCATTAGAGACCTGAGGAGCATGAACAACACCGATATGATAGTGAGGCAGGTGCTCTGAAGCTGTTTTTCTGGTTTGGGAAGCGTCCTGGTTGATTGCTTCATATATCCTGCCCTTTTGATGTGTCAGTGCAGCCACACACTCACACACATACACACACACGCACACACACACATGCATGTCCACAGTTTTATATACAAATAACAATCCTGTGAAAGTGGTGATTATTATTGTAATTTTGTGGATCCAGAAAATCAAGGCCTAAAAGAAATGAAACTTGCTTAAGATCACACTAGTTAGTGCAAGTCTGGGATTCAACTTTAAATCGTATAGTCATCCACTCCCATCTATCTGTGGTAATGGAAATCTCTGTATTGTGTCTTGAATGTTTATTTGTTCCTCAAGAAGTCAAGGCAACAAAACAAGGGTGTCCACAAATGAATTTTATCTAAAAGAGGAGCTCCTCTGTTGCGGTGAAGAATGTAAGCTCTTTATTCTGGCACTTAGGATCTTTTACTTGTTTCACTGCACAAGGCATACGTTTTTAGAAATAATTGTAATTAGGAGTTAATCAAGGAATAAAATAGTAGCAACTAACAAACCAATGACCATATCACATTTTGGTCAGCTAAATACAAGTCTAGCATAATTCCTGACACATACAGTCTTAATTTACTATTGTGAATTAAGGGTTCATGGATGCAACTCAGTGGTGGAATGCTTTACCTTGCACGTACAGGGGTCTGGGTTTGCTCTCCTCCACTGAACGGGGATCACTTTATAGGTAAGCAAACAAAGAAGACTCTTATAAAGTGATTTGTTAACCAGGCATGGTAGTGTACACTTCTGATACCTGTACTCTAAGGTGCTGAGGCAGGAGGATTATGTTTAAGCCTAGCTTGGGAAAAATTTAATGACACCTTGACTCAAAAATGAAAAATACAAGTAAAAGTAGGAAGGCCTGGAAATGTAGCTCAGTTTGAAGGCCCTGGGTTCAGTCCCCCAGTACAGGGGGGAAAATGGTGATTTCTTGAGTGTCTTTCTTAATAACATAAATTTATAAGTCTGACTTTGAGTTCAGAACTGTCACTGAATCAATAATAAAATAGAAAAATTGAGCACATGGTTATGATGCTACTTTAAGCCTAGAGCTACAGAGATAATGAAAGCAATGGATACCATCTTGTCCTGTGGATGTATTTTTGAGACAGGGTCTCACTTTATCGTTCAGGCTGGCCTTGAGCTTACGTGTAGCCCAGGCTGGCTTTGAACTTCAGCTTTCTGAATGCTGGGATTACACACTTGTCCCACCATACCTGGCTGAAAATAAAAGCATCTTAGGAGATGCGTGATTTGAGAATGTTCTTTCCCATTTTGTGAATTCTTTGCATTTTCTTGATGATGTCCTTTGAAGCACAAAGAGTTTACTTTTGATGATGGTAACTGTTTATCAGTTGTCTTTTTATAAAAATCTGAATAAGTTCTGTTAACATCCAAAGAATAACAGAATCACAGGCCATCAGTTATTGTATGTACTATAATATGTTATGTTACCTTGATTTAAGTAAAAACATCTGTGAAGTATGTTATACATAGAATACATTTAATATACTATTAATATTTAAAATTTGTATCTTCTAGGTCCATATCATTTGATTAGAATTGTTTCCTACAGCTGAGTGAGGTGGCACATGCTTGTAATCCCAGCTACTTGGGAGGCTGAGGCAGGAGAGTCTCAAGTTTAAGGCTAGCTGGGCAATGTAGCAAGACCCTATCTCAAAACAAAATTTTAAAAGGCATAGATGTGTAACTCAGTGGTAGAGCACTTGCCTCACAATCACAGGCCTGGGGTTCAATCCTCAGACCAAAAAAATTTAATTAAATTTAATGTTTAAAAAAATACTTGGTGGTACATGCTTATAATACCAGCACTCAGGAGGCTGAAGCAGGAGAATTGCTGAGTTCAAGGCCATCCTGGTCTACAAAGTAAGTTTAAGACCAGTCTGAAGTGTATACTGAAACCCTAACTCAAAAAAGATAAGGAAAAAGAAAGAAAAAGAAATTATTTCCTACGTAAAACTGCTGTGTGGTCTTAGACGTATGTGTTAACATTTATGATAGCTTTGATAATGTATTCCATTATTTACAATGTTGTTAAAAGAACTATGAAAGGTTAAAAGATAAAATGGTAAAAATGATAGCAAGGTAAATTTTGAATAGAGCAAAAAACCAAGTTATGAATTAGAAGGATGCTGGAACAGTAGGTTATCAATATTTGAAGGTACTGGTTGTTGATAACTCTTACTCTGAACAAATTGACTTCAGATTGTAATCTGGAAAAACCACCAGAATAACTGTTGAGAAAAGATTTAAGATTACAGGCTTCTTAGTTATATTAGGATTTCTATAGAAAGTTTTCAAATCCTGCTTCTAAGAAGTAAAATGGCCAGTGTAAACATATCCAGATAGTATGCGGGGTGTCACTTCTGTGTCACTCTCATGCTCAATTTAGACTGAGCTACAGAGCAAGAGAATAAAATACATTGCTGGATTTTATCTTGCTGTATTAGCTCCTCAAGAGTTGCTGATCAATGAAATGGCAGAGAATGGAAAAAATTGTGACCAGAGACGTGTAGCAATGAACAAGGAACAACACAATGGAAATTTTACAGGTAAATGACAATAGTCCAGACCTTAATTGGATATTTACCTTTGGACTCTTCTGAGAACTTTACGTATGTTAACTCGATCCTTCCAGTAGTCCTGAAAATGTTATCCTCATTTTACAGAAGAGAAAACTGAACCACAGGAGTGTTAACTGCCCAAGGTCATATCAATAGTAGATGGCGGAGCCAGGATTTGGAACCAAGTAGTTTAGTTTGCCTTTACATTATGAGGCCTACACCACTTTGATATATAGTACAGTGCTGTGTTTATGTAATGCCCATCATAGAAAGTTGATCAATTTAGACTTACTGTAGTGACATATAAGAGTAGAAGCTTGTGTTCTGATAGTAAAGTCATTGCAAAAATAACATTAACATTGGGACAGAAACACCTAGCCTATATTTGTTGTTTCCCAAAACCTACAGTAGTTGTCCAGATTCAACTGCTGATTATTCTCAGTACTAACTATTTAGGATACCCTCTTCTAAAGGTTCGTATATCTGTGAGGTCAAGGAGAACATGCCTGAGAACCTGGGTTCAACCCACAGCACCAAAAAAAAAAAGTGGCAACTGTGATCCTTCATCTCCTTTCTGAGCCCCTAGGCACTGCTGAGTCTGGACAGGTTGTTATTTCTTAAGACTTTATGGCTGGCTGTTAATAGTTACCTGGGGTGTGGGTACAGTTCACCTGTCCCTATCACAGACCACTTAAAAGAATACTCTGAAAGGTTGCCGCCAGTTGAGGCATAAGTTATGGTAACCTCCCATGATCTTAGCTTTCTGTTTTAGATTTCAGACACACTTGTGGTGGACCACGTATATTAATAAAAATTATGTTTCAGATGCTGCCCCCACTAAAGAAGGGGGGATCTCAGTATAGTACTTGAACTTGTTTTAGATGCAGTGTTTCAGATATAGGGTAAGAGGATGGGTGTCTTTTTAAAGTAATTCAGAAGAGTGAGCCTAAGTGTTAAGAATTCTGTTTTAACTTCTGTGCTATTGTTTTTTCAGACACCTCTTCAATAAATGAAAAGAAGAGGAGGGATCGGGAAGAAAGACAGAATATTGTCCTGTGGAGACAGCCACTTGTTACCTTGCAGTATTTTTCTCTGGAAATCCTTATAATCTTAAAGGAATGGACCTCAAAGTAAAGAATCTTCTGTTACTTTTTATGTAAAACTCATTTTCTAATTGTAGAACTCTCCGCCCTCTCCTACTTCCTGCCATCTGCTCCATCAAAATGAATTGATTAAATTTAGAATATTATCATAGGAGCATACTTATTTTCCTCTCTATAGTTTGAAGAAAAATAGATATAGAAACATGTTATTTTTGCTGCATAGCTTATTATAGTTGACCACTATTTCATGTTCAGTCTTGCAAGTCAGAACACTGAAAATAGGTTGGATTTTTTTTTTTTCCTGGTTTTACCTTCAAGAAATAGCAGACCTGTGTACATTATGTACACTGATTCTGTAGCAGGGCAAGGTTCAGATTGTGTGGCACTTTGGTAATAGTTTGAACCAGTGAGAAAGGACTGTGCCGCAGATACGTGATCTGTCTTTAAACTTGGTACTTGTAAGCCCTGTTTCAGCTAAGAGAGAGCAAGTTGAACTTGTGTATATCTTATCATTTTCTTGCTTGCCTTTCTATCTCTACTGTTAATTACATTTTATTGCACTTAGAGTTTATCAAACATTTTGTAACATCTTTCAGTTCACTTAATGCCTGTAGCAACTACATAAAGAAGGTTAAACAAATGGATGATTATAACAATTTTAAAAGCAAAAAACAAAACCGCAGTGGTTGTCTCACTAAAAATGTAACACTAAGGATCTTAGTCCGAAGTCCTCTGACCTGAAAGTCAGTGTTCTATTACACTGCAATGCTCCTTCATTTAGAAGTGGGGGAATAGACAAGACCAAGCTTTGGGTAAGGGAAAGACTGTGATGGGATTTGTGAGAAGAAGTTGCTTGAATGACCCTGAAAGTGAGATGACTGAGGCTTTTTTTTAATTTGTTTTTAAGATTATGGCATCGTCAAAGCATTGTGGTGTCTTTTTTACTGCTGCTTGCTGTGCTTGTGACTACGTATTATGTTGAAGGAGCACATCAACAGGTAAGCGATGTAGCAGTTCTAAGGCCATACGCTGAAAGTGTTCACGTACATCTTGTGGTCTCAGCATTGTCCGTATTTGTTATCCACGGTCCCTCAGCCTGCAGATTTGAATATAGCTGTCTTGATTGCGTTGAGTCGGAGCAGCACAACTCCTTTCATCTCTGCCAAAGTCTCTGTAGTTTCTATAATATGCCTTTGTGATCCATCCGAATAGACAGGCCTCATCCTAAGTTAGGGTTAACTTTTATTTGTGTGAAAGACAAATTCATTTGCCTGTACTCTGCAAGTACACTACTGATAGGTAAATAAGACATTTTGGTAACACCTTTTGTTAAAATACCAAGCCTTATCCTAAAAGGAAATGCTTCTGAAGTGGTATCATTTTATATTTGAAAACAGTTTGATCTCAGGGAATTTTTATAGTTTAAAATATATTTCTTCTAAATAATCTGTATATGAATTAAAAATTTTAGTGAACTTGCTTGCTGACTTGCCAAAGCAAGCAAAATTTCTCTATAAGTAAGTCTGGTATTCCCTAACAAGTCTATTTTCTTTGGGACTTCATTTTGTGCTTGTTTGAAAAGCATCTTAAATATACGAAAATTATTTTATTCCTTTTTTTGTAGGATAATCAAGAACATTCTGTTCACAAATATTATGTAATCATCCCTTATGATTGTGTATTATGCTTTCTCAAAGTTTTATAAATTTTAATAGCTTTAAAATTTTTTATTCTTATAATTATTTTATTAGTCATTTGCTCCTTTCCTGTATCCTCTCAACAGCAACTTCAAAGGTTTAGAAAATGAGCTTTATTCTAGTTAAATGAATGTTTTGCCATCTCTACTATTGCATACTAATGAAATTAGGCCGCTTTGATGAGTGTTTGATCTTGGTACTTTCTTCCCATTTTAGTTGATTGGCTTTTATTTCCGTGGTAGTTTGTGCATACCACTCTTCTGTATAAAGAATTCTCTTCCCTCTCTTTTGTTTTTCAGTATGTGCAGCGTATAGAGAAACAATTTCTCCTGTATGCCTACTGGATAGGCTTGGGAATTTTGTCTTCCGTGGGGCTTGGAACAGGGCTGCACACCTTTCTGCTTTATCTGGTAAGAATAACTTTTCTTTTAGTGAGCACAAATGAGATTTTCTGTCTTTTTATTGGCGCTGTTACTTCAGAAGTTAACATTCGGGCTGGGGATGTGGCTCAGTGGTAGAACTGTTGCCTTTCATGCACAAGGCCGTGGGTTTGATCCCCAGTACCACACACAAAAAAGTTAAAATGCTGAGATTGTGATATTTAGTTGAGCATTCTAACCTTCAAATCAGTGGTTTAAGTTTCCTTTTAAGTTGAGTGAGAATTTAAAAAGAGAAAAGGAAAACAAACAGCTAACTATATAAGGTGGTTTGTTTAAACTGGTTCAGCCAGAAGACTTTTTTTCCTAGATTTTGGTTTGATGATTCTCCTGCCTAAACAATTCATTTTTTAGTAGTTGAAATTAATTCAAGGTGTAATCGGCAACAGAGAAACGGCATCTTCCTCCCATATCTTCAGCTGCCGTGTAACACTTGAGTAGTTATTTTGGTATTTTTGAATATAGCTGGTGAAGTATTACATGTGTTACCTAAATGTTTTTTAAACTCTTTGCCCAAAAGTATAAAAAAGTGCATCTGAAAAATATCCTTTTACCAGTTAAAATAAGATAAAACTAGTTAAAAAAAGCAAAGGTAAGTTTTCCTTGTCATTCACAGATATGCTTCAATATTGTCAGAATTATGCTAAAATGATATCAGGGCTAGAACTGGGGTGAGAGCGGTAAGCAAAATACTGAAGGCCCAGTGTTTTTACCCAGTACTGGGGGTTTAACCTAGGATTACACAGGCACTACCACTAAACCTTGTCCCCGAGGCCTGAGGCACCATTTAAATTGATGGATGAGGGCCTCATTAAATTATGTGCCCTCCATTCCTCACTCGCTTTGCTCTGTTCCTGTCCCTAAATCATAACTTGAAAATGATTCCATATTTGAAAACAGTGTGATCTTCACTGCGGTAATGCCTGTGAGAGGGTGTCACAGTGAGATGAATTGTTCAGTAAAATTCATCACTAAAAATAGTACAGTCTGTATATTATTAAAATGAATTCATTTCTGAAGCAGGTATGGTATTAAGCGTTGCTTATCTGCTTAGTTCAGAAGGGTGCTGAATACTCTCAGAATACTTTGGGAATTAATCCATACTGAATAATTTCTCCAAGTTCATGAAAGTTTAAAACTTGGAATTTTAAGTTGGCTACAGTAATGCATGCCTGTAATCCCAGCTATTTGAGAGGCTGAGACAGATGGAATACAAATTCAAGGCCAGCTTGGGAAGCTTAGTGAGACTGTGTTTCAGGGAAAAAGAAACTTAGAATTTGAGAATTATGTTTATATTTGGTTGTGATTTTAGCTTAAAAAGGAACATACATTTTAGAGAAGTAATCCATGTCATTGTTTCACTAGTAACTACTACATTCTTGGTAGCATAACAATACATTCACCCATAGAGGTTGAAGGAGAGGGAAAAAGAGGGACAGATTATAAAAAGATCTTCCTGTTCTTGTTAAGTCTTGTCCAACATATTTCTTGGAGATAGCAGATTGAAACTCATTCGTAGCATTTGATTAATATGGCAGCATCTAAAAAGTAACCCAGGGCTGGGGAGGTAACTTAGATGTAGAGCACTTGCCTAATTTGCATGAGTCCTAGGCTTGACCCCATGTACTGTGCGGTGGAGGAGACCCAAATAGATAGGTTTTTCTCAACTTTGAAAGGAATTCAAATGAACCCATTTTAAATTTCGTAAGAGTTTAGGATAAACAAATTTGAAAGAGAAATTTTATGTTCCTGTTGTAACTTACATGAAACATTTGTAAAGTGGCTTTCTGTTGAAAGCATTATTATTCCAGCTCCATTGACCCAGGTATCCAGTAAAAGATTTAGGAACATACAAATAAGAGTTTATTACAAAATTGATATAGAGGAAAAATCAAGTTTTTGTTTCTATATATTAGTAGGTATTCCTGCTCTTGTTCAGAGCTCAACTTTAATGTAGTTACCCTTTCATAATTTTAGAAAGAATTCTTCAAGAGCTATTTGAAAGAAGGCATCCGTCTCTCATTATACTCAGTATTATAGTATGCTAATTAGTATGAAGATAAAATCAAGGAACCTCTGAAACTGTTGCGTTAAACATAAAGACTTTACAGAAAACTTTCTGCATCTTCAGACATCTAAATTCTTGGTATATGTTAACAGTGCTTATGGGAGTGTTGTGGTGTCATTACTGCCAAAACGAAACTGAGGCCCAGGCTGGGTGTGGTGACACACCTGTAATTCCAGCACTCTGAGAGCTGAGATGGGAAGATACAAGTTCAATCCTAGTCTGAGCAATTTAATTGTTTAGTAAGACCCTGACTCGAAATGAAATAGTGCTGGGGATGCAGCTCGGTGCAGAGACCCTGGGTTCAGTCCCTAGAAGGGGGTGGCTGGGTCAAGGAGGGGAGTGAGGGGAACTGAGGTCCAGGACAGTGACATTTACCTTTACTAAATAATTTGAATTGTTTATTGTTCTTTTGTTTCTTTTTTTTTGTGCCAGTACCCTAAAATTAAGTATATGTGAAGTAACCAAACCTATGTTTTGTGAATACAGAATTCTGCCTACTGTGTGGGAGATAGATTGGTACATTGTTAACTAAAGCCAGTAGTTTACATTAAGTTCATTCTGTGTCTTTATAGTTTTGTGGCTTGAAAAAAATGCATAATGTTGTGTTATGCACCGTTACAACATCACACAAAGCAGCTTTGCTACCATAAAACTACACTGCACTCCATCATACTCCCAGCCTCTTCCACTCCTCACTCTACTTCCAAACCACTAGTGATACCGTTTAAGGCTCTCTGTGGTGTTTTCAAAGCTTGGTTCCTCATTTCTTTTTATTGCTAAATGATATTCCATTTTATAAATGTACCACCATAGTTGTTTATTCATTTACTACCAAAGGACATCTTGATTTACTTCCAAGTTTTGTCAGTTATGAATGAAGTTGCTATAAATGTAAGCTTTTCTTTGAAATGAATTTTCAATTCACTTGGGTAAATTCCTAAAAGTACAATTGGTAGATCATGTATATTAATTACTGGTATATAACAAAGATAGTCAGGCTGGGGATATAGCTCAGCAGCACAAGCGCCTACATGCCAAGCGTGAGGTCCTGAGTTCGATCCCCAGTACCAAAAAATAAAAGAAAAAACAAAAAATTAGTCTTAAGGAAAACCTTGTATTGTAGAGTATAGGAACATTGCATGCTTAAAGTAGCAAAAGGATAGTCTTTCTTGTTGTTCATGCTGTACCTAGCAACCTTGCTATAAGACTCTCTGATGGTGTTTTTAGGATTTTCTGCAGTTTCATATGGACAGTTTCATATCCCCCCCCAATCTGTATAAATTTTACTTCCATTTCTTACGGCATTAGCTGTGTTTCCAGTGTGATACTGAGCAGGAGTTATGGGAGGGGCATCCTGCCTTGTTCCCAGTATTAATCTGAAAGCCTCTGTCTTATCACCTTTACATATGATATTAGCGTAGGTTGTTTTGTAGATGTTCCTCATGAGGTTGCAGAAGGGTGCTGGTTTGTTAGAAGTTTATTTATGTTGGTTTTTTAGTCATAAATCAACGTTGAATTTTAGGAAATAGTAACTCCACTTTTTGTGCTCACCTATAATCCTAAACGGAGGCGGGAGGATTGTGAATTGAAGCTAGCCTAGGCAACACAGTGAGACTTCATCTTACAGAATTAATAAACCCACTATTTTAGCCTATGCCAATAAGAAATGGATCAAAGGCTGATATAGCACACACGTGGGAACACACACACACACTCATTAGTATGTAGGATTAGGGAGCAATGTGTTAAGATTTGTATTTTTTTTTTTTTGTCTCAAAAGAAACACCCCAAATAAGCCATTTCATTTCACCAAATTACCTTTAGTTCTTTAGTCTTTTCATTTAGACACAGGCTTTCGTTTTGGGATTTCCTGACTATAAGAGAGAATGAAGAAGAAAGAAGATTTACAAAGAACAATTTTCAGACAATTCAAGTGAAAATAAAATAAAAGGTATCACTGGCTTTGATTTATGAATTGATTAGTTAAGGTGAAAATCAGGCTGCAAGAGGCTATTAACAACAAAATGGACAAACCCATTGTCATACTTACATTAATACGAATTAAAGTCAGTTCTGTGTTCACCTCTGTTGAGTATCCATTTTTGTGCGGAGATTTTGCATCCCCACCTGTTTTGTTGTTGCTGAGACAGGGTCTCGCTAGGTAGTTCAGGCTGGCCTTGAACTCACTGTGCAGCCCAGGCTGAACTCAAACTTGTGGCTATCCTGCTTCCTCAACCTCCCGAGCGCTGGGATTATAGTCCTGAGCCACCATTCCAGGCTTGGTTAGATTTTTTCAAATTTACACTTTCTTAGTCATAACTGGTTGGTAGAATTTTATCACTATTTCTTTTATTTTATATCTAGGAAGTTAATTGTGTTTGCAAAAGTCCTAACTACATCAGCTTTCATTTATAAGGTTTTATATAACCCTCTCAGCAAGATGTGATGATAACATTGTCATGTCCTACTTTTTTATAATGATAAAACAAACACTTCTGCCTGACTATCATATAACGCAGTTTGGAGACCTAGTGACCATTGTTAGGGAACTTATTTGCTCAGAAATAGAGCTTTCCTTTTGACTGCATTAATTTATAGCAAAATGTGAAAAAGAAATCAGTTTTAACAAAGAAAAAGAATTTAACCCATTCTTTATAATAATTCTCTTTACTGGACAGCAGGGGTTAAAAGTAATATGAACATTTTTCATATTTTATAAAATGATTTGAAAACAGTATGAATCTAATAGTTTCAAAGATCAGCTATCTAGCCAAGAAGAAAGAGTTAGATGCTGCTGTGCAAGAGTAGTGGTTGTATAACAGTATCTAACCAGAAAGAGGGAGATAAAAGGAAAGGGAATGGATTCCTTCTCCCCAGGGCTAATGCATATTTAGTTGGGGCACTA